AAGACAAAATGATATAGTAAACTTTATTTACAAAAATTAAAAAACAAAAAAAAAAATAAGAAATGGAGAAAGCAATGTTTATTAAAACAAAAGATTTAAATGAATAATTATATTTAATCTTTTTCTTTCAATCCTTGAAGCGCTCAATTTTTTTATTTATTGAATTTTTAAAATTTAATTTTTAATGATATTATCTAATGTGAAACTTTGACTTGATAATTTATGATAGTGGAAAGCAAACACTGATATCATTCGTACCTCATAGTGTTTCAATAATATTTGCTCTTTAGCTTCATGTATGAATGTGAATGTCAAACTTTTGAAATTTAAATTATGTTGAAACTTCACCCATCAAAATAAAATTTATTTCGAATCAGACAGAAAGAAAAGAAAGAAGAAATATTATTCACTGAACTGTTAACAGAATATCATTGATAAAATACATTATCAATTTAAAGGCAGAAACTTTTTTCTGTAATAAAATTTTGCATTGATGGGAAAATTGTTAAATTTTTATTACATATAAAATAATAAGAGTAATTTGAATCAAACTATAATAATAGAACGATTATTTGGAAAACAATTTTGCTAAAGTTTTCATTTTTTTTTCTTTAAATAATTTCGAAATAGTAAATGTCAAATGATAGTTATCAAATGATAGTTACATCAAGCGTCTTTATTACCGTAGCCGTTCTCCAACCAAAACGAATTCCGATTACAATTATACGATTTCATGGATGGCTGGATAATGAATGTTTTAAACTGGCAATAAATTTATAAAATTATGAAAAAAGTAAAAAGTCTAAAAAAGTCTAAAAAAAAGTAATCATAAAGGTTTTTTAAATGCATACAAAGCTAATTACAATTAATTAAGCATTTTAGCACTAACCTAAAATACTTGTCAGAAATGAAATCATTCCCAATAAGCTTGACAGTTATTAAATTTGGAAAGCACTGATAAAATTGAACATGGTATCACTAGGGATTAACTATAAGTGACAACTAGTAAGTGATAATAAGTTAGGATAAGATAAAAATCCATTTTGCCAGTTCTATTTCAACTTTTGAACCACTTTATAAGCATTCTTTAATTCATTTTTGCTCGGCTACGATATTATAATAATGAAATCCACATTGATAGTTATTGCGGTTTACAAATCCGATAGTTTCCGAGCCAAATTATAAATTCCAAAGCAAATGTGATTCTATCATTTGCTACCAATCCTATCACATGATAGTTGATAGCAAAACCTTCATACAAAGCTATATGAAGTACTTTCTGTTAAGAAAAAATTACGGTGAAAAATTCTTATTCGTTTTGTAATTTCAATATTTGCAAAGAATCAAGCTACTTTAAACAGTGAATATTCTAACAAATTGTTTCAAATATTGACAATCAAAAACTTTCATTTTCCTCAAATATTTATGTGAAATATATAGAAAATTGAAATCGCTGAATAAGCATTGCAAAAAATGTGTCAAATAGATATTTCAAAAAAAAAGAAAGAAAACTATTTCTTTCATTTATTAATACGAAAAGTTAAAGTATCATCTTCTCTTTTGGCTTTCAATTTAGCTAATTTGAAAAAATATTTGAAAATTTTGCTAATTGTCAAATTTAAATCAGCTTGCAATTTCATTTTTCTTTTGAACTTTGCAGTATCTTAGTAATATGACAAAATAATGCATTGGGAAGGGTTTAAAAATTTCAATCCAATTAATTTTATCTCTTTGGGAGTTTAAAAGACTTGCTTTCTGTATGATTCATTTGTGATTAAAATTTATTGATGTTAAGACTATCGAAATTATTGAATTTCATTCATCATTTAATCTTCACTGTTGTTAAGGAATCCACAGCAATGCTGTTGATAAATCCAAATCAACAGATGATCAGAGAACTGTTGTCGATTTTCCGCCTTTTTTTTATATCGTTTCTTTTCAAAACATTTTGCAATATTTGCCATTCAAACCATCAGTACTCCGAAAACTTCCATTAATTTACTGCCATCTGAAATATTAGCAAAATGCAGCGTTTAGCATAATAGCACAGAGGTATGTTCGGAGCATGAAGTTATGTGCCATCTAAAAGTTTTAATTTTGTTGCATTAGTTCAATGAAAATTAAGCAAATTAGTTCAAAAGAATGCAGTATTTGTTATATGAAAGACTATGCGGAAGACATCAAGAAATTTTCCTTTTTCTTTTTTTTATTTTTAAAGTAATTTTAACAAAACAAAACTGAAACTTGGGGAAATGAAAGCCGAAATTTCAGCTTAAGAAGACAGATATGGAATTGCTATGATATTATATAGCAATTCATTTAAATCATTTCGGAATCGACCAACAACCCTTACCAGAAAATGAAAAAACTTAGGAGTGAATCTAATAAAAAGCAACAGAATTCAA